GAATTCCTCCCCCCTGCCGCGCCCTCCCGAGCGGCCCACAAAATTCCCCCCCCATGATTCAAACCCGTCCGCGACCCCATCGTCCCTCGCCAAGCCTGGCCCGCCTTCCTTCCCAGTCCGCCCAGCCCCAGGCGGGTCCAAGCCGGGGCGGTAAGGCGTTCGGCCCAGCCGCGGCGCGCGCGAGAGAGTCCCGCGGAGGAAGAGCGCTTGGTCGGGGTCGGGGTTGGGGGTTTGGGCTTGGGTTTGGGCTTGTAATTGGCCCCTGTTCTGGCCACCGGGCCGTAGACTAGGGATTCGCGGATGTGGGTTTTGTGGTTGGTAGTCGGGTTTGGACCGGATTTCGGACGAGGAAGGTCTTGGTGGTTTCGGGGGGGGGTGTTGGGGTGTGGGCTGGCTGCCCCGTGGCGTGGTGGTGAGGAGGGGTTTGTTGTGTTGGTTCTGGGGTTGGGCGGCGACGTCGAATTGGAGGGGGGAGTTCGCGATGAGGTTGTCGGCCATTTGTGGCTGGGCGACGATGGAGACGAAGTGAGATGGTTCCTGGAGAGAAAGCATGTGTTGGTTTTTGTTTGTAGAGATTGGATAGTGTAATTGGATGGAATTGGGGCCGTTGGCCGTGACGTACCTGCAGCTTCTTGAAGACCTCGACTTCGGCGTACTTCTTCAACGCCCCGAGCACAGCACGCCGCTCTGAAAGCGTCACCGGTGATGGCGACACCTTGACGAGTATGGTTCGCAGATTGGCCGCTACGGGCCCTACTCTTGGGAGGGACATTGTCGAGCTGCCGCTTTGGTTATTGTTGAGTTCATTAACAGCGCAGCTATTCACATGGAAGTGTCGTCAAAAATGCCAAAAGTTTAAGCTTTGATGATTGCCATTTGCCAAGCAACATCCTGTGGGGTCCTGCATGGAATTTCTTCCCCTGAACTGCAGGCCCAGTTGCCAACAGGCCAGCATCAGCTGCAGGGTCGTTTTCGGGATTCCTTCGTTTTCCAAAAAACCGATCCTGGAATGGAAGTTGATTCTTCAACGGTCTGCTGCACTGCACCTCTGCCCTCCGAGCGCTCCTTTCGGTGAGCAAAACTTTAAGGGAGTTATTAAAAGTGCCCGTCTCAATATGGCAAGTTCCGCTCTCCGACCCTTGGACCGGGCATTTGAACCCGCGAAATGTCAACATCAAACCAGCGCGCTTGGGGGAGAGCGTCGTATCTGATCGGCATTGAAGAACTTCTCCCCCAGGTACGTACATATGTCGTTACCTCCCGACCATCGCTCATCACGGCATCATCCGCCTTTAGAATTAGCCAGGACCTAAAAGACGGCCCAGGGATTCACCCCGTCCCCATTGTACCCGCAGTTGATATCTCTCATCCACGGCTCCAGCTTCAGTATCTTTTCGCCGCCATGTAACCTGGATGTTGAGATGTGCGTGGATGGCATCGTCAAAGGCTGCCACAAGAACTTCGGGCTGTTCCCGCCTTCATATTTGATTGACACTTTCCAGCCTCGACGAGGACAGGCTTGAAGCAGTCGCGAGTATCACTGGTGAGGGTAAAGACGGGGGGGTTATATTCACATGCATTGAATTACCTATTTGTAGGCTTTTAGCCCCCACCTACGCAACATATATTCAGGGAAAAGAAGAGACGATTTAAGGCAACAACAGGTAGGTCGGACTCGGTATTCAATGTCGCACTTAACCAACCCCTCGCCGACCCCCGCCTTGATGGTTTCCCGGGTTCGCTGAGCGAAGGCGGAGACGGAGGCAGGCATTCGGATTCCGATTTCCCTTTTGGGTCATCACGGGTGGTATTCCAGGCATTTTGCTCTCTACCTATACGCACTTTCCGCATTTCATGGCGTAAACTCCCATAATAAGCTCAATCGCACTTCCTTCCCTGCATCAAAGTCCCAATCCTTCTACCACCTTAGGTTCCACTCCCATCGTGAAATGTCACCTACCGTAGCTGATAAATTTCTGCCTCAGCATCCCAATCCGCTCCATCTCGGTCCCGAATCCTCGGTGGAGATTACCCCGTCCACACTACCGCGGTAAGAAGTCAACGGTTGCGGCACAGACACCACTGCCAGCGGCAGTCAACCCGCCGGCCAGGTCCCCCGCGTGATGCCATCGAGGGAGGCAACATTGGTCAGCGGGGCAATGGGCTTGATGCTCATGCGAGCACTCGGGCGGTACCTAGACAGGGTTGTCTGATCTGTTTAGACTTTATAAAGGCTCAACACTCGCCCGTTGTGCCCAGTAGTCACGATGTTGCCGTCTCTACTTCTCCATCGTCGCACGTGGTCGTGATATTCAAAGATGCTTCCCAAGCTTTCCTCTCTCCTCGCCATCCCGGCTCTGCTGGCCGCAACGGCTGTGGCCGCACCCGCCATAGAAAGTGCCCGCCGCCCTTGTCGCACGGGATGCTTGCCCGACGACCTCTCGGTGGCTCGCCTGGTCTTACTCGACGACGTGGCGCGCCACCACCACAGTGACGAACGGCTGGTCATCCCTCGGCTCCGTCACTTCCACCAAGACCGAGGAGGAGACTCGCACCATCAACACCAGGACTACCATCTTCTCCCCGGCCACCACGACACTCCCGGGTGAGCTACCCCCTTCTCCTCTCTCCCTTCTCCCCTCTCCCTTAAACGCCGTCCCTGTTCCAGTCCGCTAATACCCTGCCCACAGCCACCACTTTAAGCCCCACGGTAACCGACGGGACGGCAACTTATACTTGGTATACCGTCACCGAGACTGTCACGTCCCCGGGGGTATGCGCCGACGCCACTCTGCCAGGTGACGACGGTGACGCACACCATCCCCAGCACGACGCACGTCACATACACCTACGATCTCTTGTACGTATCAGCCCCCGGCTTTTGTCACGGCCCAAGGTCATAGCAGTAGGCATCTGCCTGTATAAAAGCGAGTACTGACCCTTTTCCTTTCTTTTCCCCTTTCGCTAGCTACGACACGACGTGGGCGAGCACGACCGGCCAATGTGAGCACCGTCACCAACATCCACTTCACCACCCACACCTTCACCGACACCAAGGCGGGGACGACAGTCTATGAGACAACCATCACCAAGCCGCAGACCGGTTCAGGGCGGTGGACATTCGCCATCGCGACCGGAGACGAAAACCGTTTGGGGAGAAGGGATGCAAGTCGTACGCTTGCCAGCAGCAGTAGGGGCGAAACAATGGATGTGAGGAATTAGGGGGGGAAAAAGTCAGGACTGGCGTCTATTGCCATATAGAATCGCGTGTAATGCGGAATAACCCACACCTGACCACCCTCTTCTTCTATCCACTCACACCTGCCAAAACACCTCCAGTTACGTACCATGTAGACAGACAGCCATCCCAGCGTCACGAGGCTGTCTTTTCAGAGAAAACCCACGGTCTAGACCAAGCCCACCGCCATTTCCCCGCGTTAGGCGTTAAGGTCGGCCGTAAACAACGACCCGCAGCCGGCTCCCTCGGCGGCTCTCTTGTTTTTTTGTGGAGTGCGTACATACACTACATATACCTACCTAGGTAGATACATACTGTGTCGGACGCACCCAAAGAACGCCTCACCTCCCTCCTCCCACGGCAAGTTCCGCACCTGCCTATTGCATGTATGCAGGTATGGATGGATGGATTGGGGATGGATGGATACACGACGGCACGCAAGCCTCCTTTTTGTTTCTGCAACCTTTACGGGGCTATGGGAAAGGGGAGAAGGGGGGGGGGGGGAGAAGGGAGGTACACCGCCTTGATGTGTCTGTCGGCCGATACGTGTGTGACCGTCGGCCGCGTCCCCGCCACGATGGGCGCGGGATCCGCGGGAGCGGTGCCTTCTCTACTGTGTGAGGGCACAGCCTCGGCCGCGAGACGGGCCGCTGTCTTTTGTTGTCGTGTCCGTTGTTCCAGTTCTGTCTGGAGTGTTGTCGAGGTCGTTTTGACACATTTTTTATGACTTCGTTTATACCGACGCCTCCAGATTGATATGTTTATGTCGTCGTCTTTCGTATCTTCTGCAGCGCTCATTTACTAGGTACCATGATTGTCGCCTTCGTAGATACCACCCACCTTAGCTAATCGGTCAGCAATACCTCGGAGGGGGTTGTCTAGCATGCCAGATTTCATGACGACGAGCGGGATTTAACTGGTCGAGCCGGTAAACTCTCCTCAACACAAGATCGTAGCATTCCGACAACTTTCGCATGCGCGCTGATGAGTGGGGGGGAAGGTGAATCAAAGAGCTGTTCAACGCCCGCCTCGATAGGCAGCCAGTTGCCAACACCTCGGGCCGAAACACACACGCGATGGGCGCAATCCCGATCGTTATCCAGACACGGCAGGTGCGGAACCACGGGCATTAATAACGGCCCCCCCCCCCCCCCCTCCTTTCACCCTTAACTCCCATGTGGGGTTACCCGAATCACACGGGGGGGGAAACATTCCAACCGGGGCCGAAAGCGGGGCTCCTGCGCGGCCCAAATCTCGGCCCCCGCCCCGGGTTGCTGTCCGGGGTGGGTTGCGTGATACGGCACGGGCGTTTCAGCTGGTTTAGCAGCTCTCGAGTTCTCCCTCGCCTATGTGGTGACGGTGACATCCAGCGCCTCCTCAGAGACCGGCCCAGGGTTGTACTGTCGGGTAGTGCAACGGGCCGGGACTTGGCCGGTCTCTTTTTGTTATTTTTGGGCATGAAACGAATGGCCCGGCAGTTTGGTGGTGGTGGGTGCATGCAAACACAAAGCCATCCCGCGAAACGAGCCAACGGCGCAGGGCCACGATTCGATGCAGCGCGTGCAGAAGGGGATGGCGCAGGGGCGGCTTGATTTATAGGTCGAATGGTTTGGTTTGGTTTGGTGGAAGTTCTCCTGGGGGGTCGGAATCAAATAGTTACTCGTTGTAGCTCGTTTAAAGTAAGGAATCGAAAAGTGTACGAAGTCGAGTCAAGCTTGCGAGTGTGGGATTGCGGGGAGGGGGATCTGGAACCGCTGAACCGTTACGAGTCATCAACCCAGACATCACACCCACTTTCGGGCCACTGACACCAACAAGATCCTCTGATCTGATCAGTGGGACAATGAAAAAGGGGATCCCGGCTGCAATCTCCGCCATGTTGGGTCGAGTTGGGACTGGCGCTAACTTCGGGCGAGCCGCTGGGGTTGGTGCCCGCTCTCGAGCCGCTTTTCATTGAGCCATCGGCTGCCTGCCGAGAGATTTACACAGGAACGAACTAACTACACTAGTCCCAGAAGATCCGTTGAAAGATGCGAAAGATGGGAACCAGGGCCCCGGGTTCTTGACAAGTTTGAGCAGGCACTGTCATGCGGCCAATCTCGGGCCGACTTTCCATTGGCCGAATCCAAGCCACGGTCACAGCCCCACAATACTTCTGCAACCCCACTGGATCTTCCTCTGCACCCCCCAGAGACCCCCCATTCCCAAAGCGTCGGCACCGGCTTCGCTTGCGATCTGGCACTGTCTGGGCATCGACAGATGCGGGCAAGCAGCGTCAAACAAAGCACCAAAGCCCAGGGCTGAGCCGTACGTTAAACTGGGGTTGTTACGTCAAGCCTCAGGTTAACGTGCACTGTCTTTCGATCTTGGAAGAGTGACTGACTGACCTTCATGACGGATTTCATTTCTGGATTCGGTAGTCTTCTTGCAGGCTCTCTCTCGGATTTTCCAGGGTTCCAGGTAGCGCTGTCTGAGACCAGACACCATCTTCTGCTCAACCAAGGCACAGGAGGCGCCAGCTAGGGCGGTATTGGCCCGCCGAGCCTTCTTGGCATTTTCCGCGCTGGGGGTGCTCTCGCTGGTTCCTGTGCGTGCACGCACCTCACTCTCCGATGGCTTGGGTCGCCCACAGGCAGCTCCCAAAAACCCCAAAACGGGTTCCACATGACCCACAGTGTGAGCAACCCAAAGGGCAGGTTTCCCGATTCCACAGCCAATAAAAAGACCCCAGAATACATCCTCCCGGTTCATTTGACCGCTGAGCCCGGCGGCATCCTTCCCAAAGAAACCTCGGGCGCCCAGTTCAGGAGTGGCCTCGGCGAGGGGCACAGGGCACAGGGAGAAGAAAAAACTGGAGGAACGGTCACGGACGGGGGAGCTGTGAGCTTACCAAGACAGCACTTTGCTCGACCGAGACTAGGGCGTTTGGCATTTGGGTAGACCCCCCCGGCCTTAGTTAGAGCTTCGAGTGGTTCTTTCCTTCTTCTGTGCGAGCTGGCGCTCCTGCTGTGCTTCCATGCGTGCGCGTTCATGGTCCAATTCCACAAGGCACTTGCTCACTAACTACAGTAGGCGGCAACGGGCAGCACCTTTCTTTTCTTTTCTGCAATTCTCGACCCATTCTATTGCAGGCACGTCCACAACGCCTTGTCTCGGTCCAGTTGCCCTTGTTGGCCCCGGCTGTGACCCTTATTCGGCACTTTAGCGGCTGATATTGATGAATTAGCGTTAACGTTACCACCATTCGCTTCCCAGTTTCCCGACTCGCCCGTCTTGTGTGGTATGCCTGCCATCTCCCGCACCCGCTGCCACGGTTCACCCGACCTCGACTTTGCATGCCTTGCCTTGCATTGCATTGGCTCTCGACTCGACAACACACCAGGACCAGTGGAAGACACCTTGACTCCCCAGGGCACACCCCAGGGCAGACCAAAAGAAACAAAACATATCGACACACTGTACTTTGTACCTACCACTGCCTCCATATGCACACTCTCAGCATCAGGCAGGGTCAGAATCAGCATTAACTAGCGTCCTCGACTCGAACCAGCTTCCTCCAAAGAGGCCACCCCGAGTTAGCCCTGTCGTGGCCGCCAAGGCGTAGAGCACATGAAGCACCGACGCCTTCTTAAACACGGCGCTTCCCAATCACCACCTCCTTTCTTCGCCCCGTCCGACTACGGCGGCCTCGTACATCCCGTTACTTCTTTGCGTCGCCGGCCGCAGCCGGTCTGGCTCGCCTTCCATCTATCACCATGGATGCGCGCCTTGCCTATGGGTCCCGGCCGGGCCCTGCACCACCACGGGAGGGCACCGACGGGGTGCAGGTGCAGGTGCAGGTGCTTCCAGAAGAAAACGCAACAGAGGAAGAAGAAGCACAACCAACACCAACACTAGGCCCGGGCCCGCAATCCGGGGAGCTCCAACAACAGCAAGCCCCATACCTCCACTTTCAACCTTCACACACACCGCAAATATCCAACCTTGGTCTACCGCCGCCAACCGACGCAGATAGGACCGTCTCTCCGGGACGTACGGTAGAGAGACTGGCGCGCAAGCTGAGCAAGCAAGACCTGCAACAACGGCATCAGAGTCGTACTAGGCACCGCCAACGGCAAACGAAACAACCAACGCCTCTGTCGCCGGCATCGACAACAAGCGTGCAAACTCAAGCCCCCGAATTGCGTAGGTTTCAGGCCTGGGCTGCGCACGACGCCAACTGCCAGTCGCCGCTCCCTCCACCAACCCCGTCAGAGAATCACGCCATTCCATGCCTTCCCATTCCCGCGCTGGGCGTGGGCGAACCCATCGAGATTGACGAGGCCTATGTCGAGCCAGAACAACCCGAGGATCGGCGGCTATTGGACGTGAGGCGACCGCGACGACAAACAAGTGGCCAACTTCGACCCTCCGCCCGCCCCGTCGACCACCGCTTGGAGGGCATGATTGCGGATGGGACACAGTGCAACGTGCGCAGCGAACCCCAGCCGATACTGACGCCAACACCGATGCCGGCCCCATCTCTACCGAAATCAGGGTTGCAATTAGCCGATCCGGGATTTATCGAACCCGACCCCGAATGCGCCACTGCGGACCCGGGCATAGAGATTGACGAGACGGACCCGGGCGACATGTCCGCTTTTCGGGACGAGTTGCTCGCGCTGGCTGAGGGTAACACCATCCCGCTGCGGTACGCCGCCGGACCTGGCGGCGTCAGGAAGTACACGGTCGGCGGCGTGGCCCTGCGCTACCGCCTATCGGCTGACGTCGCGATGCGCTGCGCCAACGTGGTTCGTAGCCGCCCAAGAATGCGCAAGCGGGCCAAGTCTCGATATGGGAGCGCTACCACCTCGGCCGTTACGTCGCCCGCCATGTCGTCGGCTCAATCACCACCCCTACCGCCGACTGAATTTCCGCTCTGACATTGAGCTCGTCATTTTATTTTGGTTTTCTTTTTTTTTTTTTTTGGTCTTTTTTTTTATGTTTTGTTTTGTTTGTGTGAAGCGGCATGTTATATACCCCTCTTCGTGTCCCGAGCTTTGCAGTCTGAGCTGGTTTGAGGAACCATTTCGGGAGTTTTAAAAGGAGTTCGCAAAGGGATCTGGCCCCTTTGCTGTGTCGGTGTGGGATTGCATATCTACTGCATGTCTTGGGCGTTTTGCGGTTTCGGATACCATGGGGATTGGGGAATCTTACACGGGGAGAGGTTACTCATAGACTGGCGGGGGCTTCGCAAGCCATCACAGACCGGACCAGGGTCATTTCACAAAGCCATTTATTTCTATACCTGTACATACCTTTTTTACCTTCAACGTCGGGGATCGACAGGAGGCTCTGCGACAATGTACAAAGGAGCTGCTCAAAAAACGCATGTCAATTCATTCATGGCGGCAAGGCTGAGCTCCCCGCCGCGCTTTTTTTGCTCCCGCACGCCGTCGCCGCCCCGCTCTGCCCTGAATATAACTGTGTTTGCTTGCTTGCCAGCCAGGGGCTCTTCAAGGGATAACCAGGACAACGCGGTGGCAAGCCCATCTCTATTTATTTAGCATGCGAGAGTGCTCCGCCTCAACCTATATCTCGGTCGGTTTCATCTCACCTTGCGCCATCACCTGATTGTTACAGGATTAGCTCACGCGACTAGGGAGTGCTTGTTTTCCCCAATGTTTGTCCCCTGTCCCCGCCAACACAGGGAGAGAAATAACGCCAGGAAAAGTGCCGGAGAATCCCGGGCTAAGGGGAGGACAACCCTCCTGACTCCCATCATTCCAGTGCTCGACCCATCTTTGTCCCACTGCAACGGACTTCGCTCGGCCACCTCCGCCGAGCATCAAGCCCAACAAAGCATGTCGGCGCTTCTTTGTCGGGTTAGTGAGCTCAAACCAGCTCCCCACCACGTCACTACGGCCCCCGGACTATGATGATCCGGCCGGTGGGAAGGCGTTGGGTTTGGCCAGGCTTGCAGGATCAGGATCGTGACGAGTCTGGAATGCATGATCGTCTCGAGGCAACCCTCCATTCCTGGCAGGGCCAGGGTACCTGCGTCGACGAGACTCTGTCTACAAATGTCTTGGATACCCCCCGTCCCCCCCATCCCCTTCATATCTTCTGTTGCTGTGGTAAGCTGAGTGGATTGTTGACTTTCCCGTCAACCCCTCCACCTACCCCCGCGACACCCCCTTTGGCTGACATGGCCGCTTGGAAAACAACAACCCTCACTCACACACACACGCACATACAAATACCCAACAACAAGCTAAAAGAGCAGCCCCAAACAACAACACACAAAACTACCACCCCAGCGTACCATCACAACGGCTTGTGACCCTCCAACAATGGCTGGCGTTCGGGGAATGGCTTTTACGGCGGATGGGCCACCCTCCTCGGCGAACAAAGAGAAGGGCGGCTTCTGCTGGCACGACGCGGGCGAGGCGGGGTCGACGGATTTCTTTGATCAGTATGTCGAGCTCGGCGACTCCGACGCGGAATCTGCCTCTGGAGGGGGTGGCGGCTTCGGCCACTTCGGCGCTTCTGGCCTGTCCGACTCGCCACACCTGTCGTTTGGCCAGATGCTCCCCCCCAGCGGTGGGGGGACCCAGGGACCTGGGGCTCAGGGACATATGATGGCAGTTAATAACAACGACGGGGGAAGCAATAGCAACGCGGCCAGCTCGAGCTCAACAGCAAGAGACTACCGGCCACGGCAGCAGTTACACCCGCTCCATCGAGCCTCGACAAACATGACGGCCTTCAGCAACCCGGAGATCGAGGCCGACAGGATGTCCTATGGCAGCTTCGGCGAGGCGCCGGGCGGCGGCGGCTCCATCTCAGACTCAGAGCTGTTGAAGCTCGAGGGCTTGAGGATGGGGTCACCGCGCATCCAAATCCTCCAGTTCTCGGCGTCCGAGCCAGCGTCGCCTCCATCCAAGGCGACCAGTCCCCACAAGGCCAGCCGTCTGGAAAACTTCTGCACCAAGATCCGCAACAAGGCGGCGACGCTGCAAGGGTAAGAAAGTGGAAGGTCAAGTCTGAGCCACTGACGTCGCCCCACGGTTCCGGTCATGTTGACTGCGCAGTTGGAACCTGCGAAGGCGTCTGGTTGGCAGCGGCCACAGAACCCGCACATCTCCAAGTCCCAGCTACCGTCCCCACCCCTCACCAGCGGCATGCCCAACGAGGCGCAACGGTCTGTTTCCGGCAGGGAGGCTAGTTTTGTCAACGGCTTCCTTGATGATCCTTTCAACCACGAACTGCTCAACGGCCAGTTCATACCCCCGCTACAGCTCAACGGCACCACCATACCCCAGACGCCCATGTCGACGCCTCTCATGGACGGCTGGCAGCTTCCCATGGCGGTCACGGACGGTAAAGCGCTGTGGACCGCGCCGGCCACGTATTTTGGCAACGGAGACGCCAGCACTTGGTGGGATCCGTCGGACGCCATGGACACCGATTCGCTCCCCATGTCGTACCACGCTGCCAATGCCCGCAACACCTCCCTCAACCTCACCATCCAGCTGCAGCACCAGCAGAGCTTCGAGTACCCCGCGCCGCCGGGCACCGAAGACACCACCACCGCCACCTTCAACCCCAACGGCCTGATGCTGCACATGCCTCAGCCGCGGGGCATCCCGTCCACGGTCCCGCAGAGTGACACCCATCATCGCCTGACCCGCGCCGACCACCACCGCCGGCCCAAACCGCGTGCTCCATCCTCGGGCGCCCGCCACCACCAGTACGGCCCAGGCATGTCCCCGCGTAAGGGACGCGCCGCTAGCGGGGGCGGCGGCGGAAGCGCCAGCGCAAACCGCATCGCCTCGCTGTCTCCATCGCCCAAGATGCCCGCCGCAGCGGCAGCCGCGCCGGGGCCCAACGGCAACGGCCGCCTCCACCGGCGCAGTGCGTCCATGCAGACGCTGGGCACGGCCGCCGGCGACCCGAGCACGGCAATCCGCAAGCGCAAGAGCTGGACGGGGGCGGCGCACCTCGTTCCGTCCTCGTCGTCGCTGCACCACCAGTACCACACCCTCGCCGTGGCGGCGGCAGCAGCGTCTCCGGGCCGCCTCCCCCGCGCGCCGCCGTACAACTAACGGCAGCAACACCTTCCCCATCATCAAGGCCCGCCTCCCTCACCTCCTTCCCAGCCCCCCATAACCATCCCCACGGCCATAACCACCGCCACACCCACTCCCAACCCCTCAACCACCCACACCCACACCCCTACCCCACCGACCCAGTAAAAAACAACAACGAAAACAATACGGGCAGTAACAAAGATCG